CTGGGCCTCCCTTCTGAAGCTGCTGCCCCCGCGACCCGACCCCGGATAGGCGGAAGAAAATGGATGGATGGATGGATGGATAACTAAAAATTAGAAGGCAGAATTCACTGTTAGATCTTCAAAATTTACTTTTGATTGACCCTGAAAGTCAAGAATTATAATGTGCCTTGGTTATTGTATATTTTTCATTCTTTGTAGTGTTTGTGCTGACATCAGTTTCCTTTTATTGGTAATTGTAACAAGGAAGACAAAGTTTTTTTTTTGGGGGGGGGGCAGCCAGGAAGCGCCTATATTTTCCTGTCCTCCAACCAGCCAGTCGAGGCAGATGTCCGCCTGTCCTGAACCTGGTTCTGCTGGAGGTTTCTTCCTGATTAGCAGGGAGTTTTTCTTCTCCACCGTTTGCTCAGGATGGGAGACTGTGATGAAGTGATTCAACACAATCTGCTGGTTTCTTCTTTAGGTTGTTCTTTTTTATGTACAGTGTCCTGAGACAAGGTATGTTGTGACTTGGCGCTATATAAATAAACTGAACTTGAACTATATATTTTTTAAAATATAAATAATAATAGGATAGCTGTATGAAATTTGAACACTGTACATGTGGAAGGACATGTAACAGTTCGGCTCAGTCAAAACAGCACTGATCAGCCTGTAAAAAGATCACTATATATGAATCTGAATTAATATTAGTCATAACTTGAGACAGGAAGGTGCTTGCCACAAGAAAATTTGAAGTCAATAAATTATGTTTACAAGTTCACAATAATTCGTATTTGGGTTCCTTTTTAGGACAAACTCCGCCCACACAAGAAACTCCCCCCTATGTACTGCAGAGACCCCTACTTGTTTGAGATACATAATTTTTAAAGTGGTACAGGAACAATATATAGCGTAGTTACAGGACTGTGAGTTGCAGGACCAGCTAAACTATGAAAAGAAAGTGGGACTTGCAGTCCAGAAAAATACGGTACTAAAAGTTCAGTTTAAAATGTGTTTGTAATGAAATGTAAAACATGTAGGAACATTAAAGGTGGCAACAAGGTAATGCTGCTGAAAGGTTAGGTGTAAGTAAATGTTACCACATCAGTTAAAGGGGACCTATTATGCAAAATTCACTTTTTAAAGATTTTTTACTCAACTTTGGGTATGTACTTCTTTAAAAAAAAACAGTCCTAGGACCAAAAAAAT